GTACTCCTCCTGTAGGGTTGCCTGGCTGGGCTATCCGGGACAGAGGCTCCCGAGTTTTCGTGACATGAAAACTGCTTGCAAACCAAGCATCAGGGTAAACAGTCATTTTTATTTGGAGCCTGTTTGAAAACCACACACACAGTTAACAGGACCAGCCCCTCTAGTGTAGTCACAGTGCTCAGACAGCACAGCCTGGGCTCTGGCCACCCCACCAGCTCCCCCAGAGATGCCTACATGCACCCTAAAACGTCCCCTTCATTCTTCCCAAGAGAAGGACGACCACAAAGATTTTCCCGTCACGCTCGTACAGCAGTCGTGAGCAGGGGCCTGGGCACAAGCAGCCTTCACCCCGCCTGCACAGGGCCCACCCGCGGACGTGGCCCCGTCCTGTCCCGGGCCAGCTTTGACCCCTCCGTGCAGCCTCGCCCGTCCTGAGGCTCCGCTGGGCAGGCCCAGGGGGCTGTGAGCCATGTCCAGGCGGGGCATGTGTGGCTGTCCCCTTTGTCTCTGAGGTTTTCTGAGCTCCGTGTCCTGCAGAGGTGAACCTGAGATGCTGGCGCCAAGCCCACCAGGGAGCGGTTTGGACCCAGGGCTTTGGGGGTGCCCGAGTTTGGCCCAGCTGGGCCCCAGGGTGTGCTCCTGAGGAAAGCTGGGCGGGCGCTGAGCTGGGGTCCTCGCCCTGGGGGAGGAGAGCTGTGTGTGAGGTCAGGGTGGGGCACTGCCACGCCCTCATTCACGGACCCTCCAAACTCCCTCAGCACAGCCAGGGTGGGGGGTCAGGTCCTTCACTGGGTGTGGCCACAGGGGTCACCCAAGAAGCCAGCATGGAAGAGAGGCCCGCAGACAGCCCCATGTGGCAGAGCTGCCCAGGGGACACACAGGCTCTGCTCCCAGCAGTGGGGGGGGGGCGCAGGGGTTGGAACCCGGGGTCAGCAGTGGGGCGTTGAACTACACGAGGCTAAGGAAAGGGAGTCTGTCTTCCCTCACACGCAGTGACTGAGCTGTTCTGCCGCTTGTCAGCTGGGGAGGGAGGGAGGGCCCCTTCTCTGCTCCTGCACAGCTCCTGGGCCTGGTGGTGAGAGGGAGGAGGGGGCTGTGGGGCAGCTCCCAGCACCTCCTCACGGCTGTTCTGCAAACAGGCCTGAGATTTGTGCGTGAGGAGGAGGGCGGGACAGGATGCCTGGGGTGGCCGAGGGCCCTGCTGGGCACCCGGGAGGCCCTGGGAACACGCCTCCCTGGGCAGTAGGTTCGAGTCGGCCTCCTGCAGAGAGAGGGCCAGGTCTGCCCCTGGTCCAATTATGGCTCCACCAGCACCGAGGCCCCCGCGTGAGCAGCCTGGCCAGCTTGGGCAGGGCCCCGGGAGGGACGGAAGAGTCTTGGCACCAGGCTGTTTTAAACTTTTTAAAAAATACACTCTTTGGCTTCCTTTTATTTCTTGAGGATTACATGAAAGGTGAACCATACAGGGAAGTGTCCCAGCCAGGTCCCTTCCCTGGGAGCGCCGGCGAGGCTCCCTGCCCGGCCAGGGGGCACCTCCATGCTCCCGGCCTGCCGCCTGGCCTCCTCGCTGGCCATCTGTCTGTCCGTCCTGTCTGCGGAGCCAACAGAGGCCCTACTTGGAGGAGGTCATGAAGCTGTTCTCGATGCAGAGGACGACGAAGGCGTTGTGGCAGCCCGCGGCCTTCTGCTCCAGCAGCCGGCCCGCCAGCAGCGAGGAGGCCTGGCCGGTGGCCGTCCTGGCCTCGGTCCGCCACGTCTCGCAGTAGCTCTCGGTCAGCCGGCGCCCGCTGGGGTCCGAGCCATGCCACACGCTCTTCTGGGGCCTGCAAGATGCAAGGGCCTCCGTCTCACCTGGGCCTGCCCCTCCAGGGTGGAGGCCACCCTGGGCAGAAAGGGCGTCTCCCAAAGGTCGCGGTTTGGCTGGATGTAGGGACGGCGGGAGGGCAGGAACTCGAGTCAGGCCCCCTAGTCACTGGGCTCTGCCTCCCAGATCATTGCCCCTCCCCGCCACTGTTTCCAGGCACAGCTTGGGGAGCAGGGCCCGGTAACCTCTATGCTGGCCCTCCCGGGCCGGGCAGCCTTGGCTTCAAGTGCCTGTCCTTGATAGAGGCCACCAGGCAAGCCTCGGGTTCCCGCCTCCGACCAGCCCTTCAGACTGGGAGGCCCACAGCACGGCCCTGGGCAGTGCTTCTCTGGGAGGGCAGGACCACAGGCGTGTCCGACGCCCCGAGCTGACCCTGGTGTGGGGGAGCAGCTGCCCTCACACCTGCCAGCAGAGGGATGAGGGGGTGAAGCCGACTGCAGGGCACCTGGCCACTGCT